TTACTTATACGTAATATTGTAAATATATTCATATGTATGCATATATGTAATTTGAATATGTGTATTCATGAAAGAACGTAAAATATAAAATGTAAAGGATTAAGAACAAGAAAGAAACTATCTTTTCTAAAATATTTCAAGGTATAATAAAAATATAATTATAATATTGTCGATGAAAAAATAAAATTCAAGAACTTACTTTTTATATTGGGTGCCCGAAGAAGATTTCAGTCTAGTCGAAGATATTTCGTTGGCGCACGAAACGGGCAGAGCGAGTACCGCTCCGCTGGTAGGCTATTCCCGCGAGCGGCGCTACTCTCCCGGATTTGGAGAGCTCGGTGTTGCTGATGCGCGTACCGAGACCCGATTCATAGTTGTACATATGAAAAGACCCTTTCACATTTCAGAATGAACAGTAAACAGACTTTTAATATAAATAAATTTAATAGTAATTGATTTGAATAGATTAAATATCTTATTTTTATTTATAATTGAATTGTATATTTACTTAAGTAAAATTTAAATACATATTATTTAAAAAATAATTTTTGAAGATTAATAAAAAGATTAATAAAAAAAATTGTTTAAAAATTATATATTATCAATATTTTTCTATGTGTTATATTTTTTATCATATAACATTGCAGACATTTCACGTATTTTTTTTGTTTATATTTTATGAAGTATTGATTAAATATTTTATAATATTTAAATCTTAATTTATATATATTAAAGTCAATAAAATTAAATATTTTTAAAAAATAATTTTTTTATAAATTCTTTTTTTCTTTGAGCTCTCGAACGATTGAAAAAATATTTATTCTTATGCAAAATTTATCGAATTTCTGTTTATTAAATCTTTTAATTTTTCGATAAAATGAAGCCTCCATTATTCAAAAATATTTACATCTTTTCTAAAAATTTAAATTATTGAGATTTAATTGTTTATGTATAAAATATCTTTATTGTTATATTTTCTATAAAATAATAAATCACAAAAGAAGAAAATTTTAAAAATTTGTAGAAACAGATGTCTTAAAATTTAAAATTTTTTTTCTTAAAAAAATACATTTAATTATTTCAATTATTATTTCAATTATACAATTTCAAGGTCATTCAAACTTTAAATAAAATAACATATTTTTATTATTTTTGTAATATAATGTAATATATGTACATTCAAAACAAATTTAATAGTATATGATTCATTGAAAAATAACCTCAAATAATATAAATAATATTTATATATTATATACAGAATACGACTATATAAATAAATATTATATATATCATATTCAATAAAATTGAATGTATAGAATAAAATATTAATAATATAGATTAATAATAGATATATAATATAGAAATAAATAGAATAAATATTCGTTTTAAATCAAAAACTAATTGAAACTGTTATTAATGATTAATTATTATATCATATATTTTTGGATTTGCAATTAATTTATATATTTAATAATATTAATAATATTAATAAATTTTGAAATAAGAATAATATATTTATTCTTATACAATTTTGTATTCTTTTATAATATTATAAATATGATAAAATTTGTTTTTTAGAAAAATAGAAACCTTTTTATATAATTATATTCATTTTAATTATATTTCATATTATAATATATATGTATAATAATATAATAAAAATAAATCATTTTATTC